AGTACAGGTCAATTCAGATTTACAAGCTCTTGTAGGTACACTGGATCCTGCTTTATGGAAAGTCCTTGACAATTATAAGATTGTCTTCCATACTCCTCATACTCTACCACCATTTAGAGGCATGGATCATTCTATCCATCTTGTGGAGGGTGCAAAACCAGTGAATGTCAGGCCCTACAGATTCCCTCATCATCAAAAATCTGAATTAGAAAACCAGATTTCCGAATTGTTAGCTGCAGGATTTATCCAACCAAGCAAGAGTTCATTTTCCTCCCCTGTGTTGTTGATCAAAAAGAAGGATGGCAATTGGAGGATGTGTATAGATTACAGGTCCCTTAATGCACTGACTATACCAGATCGTTTTCCCATACCAACTATAGATGAACTCTTGGATGAATTGCTTGGTGCAACTATTTTCAGTAAATTGGATTTGAGAGCAGGTTATCACCAAATTCGCATACTACCTAAAGACATTCACAAAACAGCTTTTCGTACTCATGAAGGTCACTATGAGTTTCTTGTCATGCCATTTGGATTAACCAACGCTCCAGCCACATTTCAATCGGTTATGAACCAGATATTTCGTCCATTTTTTAGGAAGTTTGTAATAGTGTTTTTTGATGATATTCTTATTTACAGTGCTACACTCACTGACCATATTCAACATTTGGATTTGGTGCTTGCCTGTTTTCAGCAAAATGAGTTTTTTGTCAAACTTAGTAAGTGTGCATTTGGTGAATCTGAAATTTCATACTTGGGTCATATAGTCTGTGCTGCAGGTGTTAAAGCCGATCCTAAGAAAATAGATGCTATGATCAGTTGGCCACAACCTACTAATATCAAGCAATTAAGAGCCTTTTTGGGGTTGACCAGTTATTACAGGAAGTTTGTCCATCATTATGCAAAGATTGCTCGTCCATTGACTGATTTATTGAAGTCAGATAAATGGCACTGGCCACTTGAAGCAACTGAGGCTTTTTGTGCACTCAAAACAGCCATGAGCTCCATACCTGTATTGGGTCTTTCGGATTTTTCTGCTATTTTTATAGTGGAAACAGATGCATCCAGTTCTGGCCTTGGTGCTGTACTCATCCAAAATGGTAGACCAATTTCTTTCTTTAGCAAGAAATTGGGACCTCGTATGGCAGCCTCTTCCACATATGTTCGAGAGTTGTTTGCAATCACGGAAGCTGTAAAGAAGTGGAGACATTATCTCCTTGGTGGGCATTTTATAATTAGGACAGATCACCAAAGCATCCGTGAGTTGCTTTCTCAAACTATACAGACCCCTGAGCAGCATCGATATGTCCATAAGCTACTTGGATATTCGTTTACAATAGAGTACAAACCAGGTTCTTCGAATGTTATTGCAGATGCCCTTTCAAGACAATTTGAGGACACCTCTAAGAGTTCGTTATTAGCTCTTATTTTAGAACCACATTTTGACATTCTCGCTCGTATAAAAACAGAGAATTCTCAAGATCTTGAGCTGATTTCTTTGCGTCAGCAATTGGATGCAGGAACACTTCCTGATAGTTCTTTCACTTACCGTGATGGTATTTTGTATCGTAAGGGCAGGATCCATTTGGGAGTGAATTCTGGTTTAAAATTAGAGTTGATTGAAGAGGCTCACTCCACTCCTGTAGGTGGCCATGCTGGAGCTCTTCGCACGTTTCTCCGTTTATCAGCTTCCTTCCATTGGACGCACATGCGCAAATATGTCACCTTATTTGTTAAAGACTGTGTCGTCTGCCAACATATTAAAACATCAACAGCAGCTCCATTGGGATTACTGCATCCACTTCCAATTCCAGAAGCCATTTGTGAAGATTTAACGTTGGATTTCATCACCAACTTGCCAGTTTCTAATGGTTGGTCGACAATATTGGTTGTAGTTGATCGTTTATCGAAGTACGCTCACTTCATTGGCTTGTCTTCTTCATACACTGCTGCAACTGTAGCCAAACATTTTTGTGAACATGTAGTCAAACTTCATGGCTTTCCACGTTCGTTGGTATCTGACAGGGATCCTATATTCATGAGTAAGTTTTGGCAAAAGCTTTTCTCTTTAAGTGGAACTAAGCTCAAGGCCAGTTCTAGTTACCATCCTCAAACGGATGGCCAATCCGAAGTTACTAATCGCTATCTAGAACAATACTTACGTGCTTTTTGTTCTGATCAACATCACAGATGGTCATCTTTTTTGTGTTGGGCTGAGTTACATTATAACTCTTCTATTCATTATGCTATAGGGATGTCTCCCTTTCAAGCTGTTTATGGTAGGGTTGCTCCAACCATTCCTCATTATCCTAGAGGATCAGTTACCATAGAAGCTCTTGATACCATGCTCTGTCAACGCAATTCAGTTCTGTCCGAATTAAAGGCCAATCTGTTGCGGGCTCAGAATCGCATGAAAAATCAAGCCGATCGTCATCGTCGTGATTTGGTTTTGGCTGAAGGAGATCTGGTGCTTGTGAAGTTACAACCTTATCGTCAGATGTTGGTAATGCCTCGATCGAATCAGAAACTTGCAAAGCGTTATTATGGTCCATTTGCGATTAAAAAAGTCATCAGTGCAGTAGCCTATCAGTTGGATTTGCCTGCTTCGTCCAGGATCCATCCTACATTTCATATATCATGCTTGAAACCTTTTCGTGGTAATTCGAGTGTTCCGGTTGCTCAGTTACCTGTCATTAGTGTGGATAATAAACCAGTTCAATATCCATTGGCAGTCCTCGCCACACGAACCATTGAGGTCAAGGGCACGTCTCAAGAACAGTTCCTGGTTCAATGGTCGGATACTGTTCCTGAAGATGCCACTTGGGAACCAGCTGAAGCTTTTCGTTTGGCTTATCCAACGATAAACCTTGAGGACAAGGTTTCTCTGGAGAGAAGGGCAGTTGTTACAACTCCTCATAGGTCTATAAGGGAAAAGCAGCATCCAATATGGATGGAGGATTACGTGGGATAGTTAGTTGTGGCAGTTGTGACATTAGCAAGAGTATCTGTTAGTTTGTTAGACATTTGTACCTATAGAATAGTGCCATGTGGACAAGTGGGCCCCTATTGTAAAGGGAGTTGAAGCTATATAAGCCCTTGTAGTTCTGTTGAAAGGTATCGGAATAAGAAAATATACAATCTGTTTCGTTTTCTCTCGTGTTCATTGATACTCTGTATCATCGACGCTTCGGCACGTGTTTCCGACACGCGGTCAACTTTTTCCGACACGTGTTTCTGGCCACGCGGTCAACTTTTTCCGACACGCGATCAACTTTTTCCAACACTCGATCAACGTTCCGACACGCATCTGACATGTTTTTTTTAAGGTCTAAATTTTAAATTTTATTAACTAAAAATCAAAAATTAATTTATAAGTCAATTTTTTTCTGTTATGAAATTTGATCTAAAAAATTAACAAGGTATGAAAAATTACTTTTGCTTTATATTTATGTTATAGAATTTGAATATTTGATTGATTATATGACTTATTATGAACTATTTTATGTATTAAATATAAATTATATTATATATATTAATATTATTATTTAATATCAAAATGTGTCCTAACATATCAAAATATGACATTTTTTGGAATTAATGTATCGACATGTTGTATCGTGACGTGTCTCTTGTCCCGTATCGATGTTGGTACTTGTTTGATTATACCCCATCACTTTTACGAATTGGAAGGACAATGTTATTAACTTCAAAATTCAAGCTAATACCATACTTATGAAATATGAATTTAGTAATAGTTCATATCTCCGAGTATCTTTGTCTTGACTTGAAGATGTGAGGAGGAGTCACTATGAACTGCAAAATAGAAGGAAATAAACGGACTTGCAATCCCAGCATAATAGACAAAGGGGAAATAGGCTATACTGCTGTAGGAGAAGATTGTTTTGCTTCTACCACACTCACATTCGTATAGTAGGTCCCACCACTATTAAATAAATGAGTAAACACTTTTTTTGTCTCTGATAATATCTACAAAATCTTTTTTAGTCCCTGACAATAAAAAAGGACCAAATTGGTCCCTAACAGTATGTAAAAAGGACCACGTTAGTGACGGAGGAGTTGACATAAGGACTAATGTGACCTTTTTTTCATAATTTTAGGGACCAATTTGGTTCTTTTTTATTGCCAGGGGCTAAAAAGAATTTCGTAGATATTACTAGGGACCAAAAAAGGTGTTTACTCTAAATAAATAAATAAAAAACAAACTTCAAAAAACAATCTTATGAAGGTAGTTGAAGATGATTTTCTCCTATAACAAAAGAAAATCATCTCCCATAAATAAAACTCTAAACATAAAACAAGGGTAAAATGGATAAGTTAGATTAAATACTAACAGTATTAAAAATGGATTTTGATAGAAAATAATTCATACGAAAAAAATATATAAAGATGTAAGTGATAAAAAAGTAATCACAGGGAAATTTATAAACTTGTCCCTTATTAAAAACAGAAATAAGATATTGTTATTATCAAGTAATGTTAATATCAATGTTACTATCATATCTTAACAGTTGATTTATGTCAATCAACAGTTATTATTTATTACAAATTAATAATTAATTAATGAATTTGATTAGTGAAAATAATAACCATTGATTTATAACGGTTAATATATGATAGTGACAATAATAGTAACATTATTTGATAGTAACAATATTCTGTCCTTTGAAAAACAAAGACAAAATCAAGTAGGTTACTTATTTTATTTTCGTAATTTTTTCTGGTATTTAATTATTATTATTATTTTTTGTATAGTACTGGTATTTAATTTTGATACGAAGTATCAAGAACAAAATCTCGCGTGGATCAAAATTCAATGGTTCAAGCCCAAGCCAAGCGACTGAAACTAGAAACAAAGGTTCTAGAACCTTCTACGGGGCCCTCATAATAAACTCCATCGCAGCCGTCCATCAAAACCCTATTCTCGATCCAATGATTTTTCACTAAAAGTAAATTATAAATACGAGAATACTTCTTGTGCTGTTTCTCTTGTCATATCCGATCTGAAGTCTCGTTCTTGTTCTCGTTGTTGTTCGCTTCTTCAAACTAGGGTGTCGATTTTTGTGATAGGTTTTTGAAGATTTAAGGATGTTTGGAAGGGCACCGAAGAAGAGCGACAGCAGCAGGTACTATGAAATCCTCGGAATCTCCAATAACGCTTCTCAGGAAGATGTGAAGAAGGCTTACAAGAAACTCGCCATTAAGGCTCATCCCGACAAGGGTGGTGATCCCGAGAAGGTAGCTATATACATGTTCACAATTTCCCTTCGTTTTCTTCTTAGTTTTTTTTTTTTTTTATATAATTATTTTTCGTTTATGTTATTCTGATTAATTGTTGGTTTAGGTATGCTAATTGTTAATATGGTATCATAATTGTTGCTGTTGAATTTTTGTGATTGATTTAAGGATGTTATAACAATATTGGGTTTTCGTGATTGATTTAGGGTTAGGTTTTCGTGTTTCTATGAGGTTCTAGTTCTCAGTTTAAGTTTATACTGTTGCTAGCTGCAGTTAGATTGCAAAAGCATGTGAGATGAGGCTTGACTTTTTGTTGTTGTTGTTGTCTTTGTAGTTCAAAGAGATTGGAGAAGCTTATCAGGTTCTGGCGGACCCTGAAAAGCGTGAGATATATGATCAATATGGTGAAGATGCTCTTAAGGAAGGAATGGGTGGTGGGGGTGGTGGCCCTGACCCATTTGATATATTCCAGTCTTTCTTTGGTGGGAGTCCATTTTCATCAGGTGTGGTTTTTGATGAATGGCTTTTTTTTAGACTTGTTGTTCATCTTTGTCAATCAAGAGTTGTATGGTTTGTTTGTGTTAATAGAGTTATAATTCATGTGAACAGGTGGTAGTAGTAGAGGACGAAGGCAGAGACGTGGAGAAGATGTTGTTCACCCTCTCAAGGTCTCTTTGGACGATCTTTACCTTGGGACATCCAAGAAGCTCTCCCTCTCTAGAAATGTTATATGCTCAAAGTGCAGTGGGTAGGTATCATGAGAGTTTGGTTTTTGTTAATTATTTAAAGAAAAATTGCTTTTTTGGTGTGAGTCAGATTTTGATTTTAAGATTTTTAAAAAAGAAAATGAGTTATTTCTTACATTAGGGAATTTTATAATTTATTACAGCAAAGGTTCTAAGTCTGGAGTTGCCCCGAGCTGTGTTGCTTGTCAAGGAACTGGTATGAAGGTTTCTATAAGACAGATTGGTCCCGGTATGATTCAGCAAATGCAGCATCCTTGCAATGAGTGTAAAGGTACTGGAGAAACTATCAGTGACAGAGACCGCTGCCCGCTGTGCAAGGGAGAGAAAGTTGTCCAAGAGAAGAAAGTACTTGAAGTTGTTGTTGAGAAGGGAATGCAGAATGGGCAGAAAATTACATTCCCTGGTGAAGCTGATGAAGCGGTATGCTATTATCTGAGTGTTATTGCTGTTGAGCTTAATAATGGATAATAGGATTTGGAATGACTTTGAGTTGTTTGTGTTTTGCAGCCAGACACAATTACTGGGGATATTGTTTTTGTGCTTCAGCAGAAGGAACATCCCAAGTTTAGAAGAAAGGGTGAAGATCTTTTTGTAGAGCATAATTTGTCCCTTACTGAGGCTTTATGTGGCTTCCAATTTGTGCTGACCCACTTTGATGGCCGGCAGCTCCTTATCAAATCAAACCCTGGGGAAGTTGTCAAGCCTGGTATGTAAATGATTCACCTCTGGCCTGTCACTCACTCAATTTTGCTGTGTAATTGCTATGTGCTAAAAAAAACTTTGAATTATTGCTGTTTATACATGCAGATTCATACAAGGCTATTAATGATGAGGGAATGCCGATGTACCAGAGGCCATTCATGAAGGGGAAGCTTTACATTCACTTTACTGTGGAATTCCCTGATTCTCTAAATCCTGATCAGGTCAAGGCTTTTGAGGCTGTTCTGCCAGCAAAGCTTTCATCACAGTTGACAGAAATGGAGCTGGACGAATGTGAGGAAACTACACTTCATGATGTCAATATGGAGGAAGAGTCAAGGAGGAAGAAGCAGCAAGCTCAGCAGGAGGCATATGAGGATGATGATGACGATGATGATATGCCTGGTGGTGCACAAAGGGTACAGTGCGCCCAGCAGTAGTGACTTCTGTTGCAGAAGTGGAATCAGGGGCGTGTTAATGATGATGAATGATAATGCTGATGTTTGACCGAAGTGTGGACTCAACATAACTAGTGTTTGATCGTGTCTTAGGTTTTTTTGAGAGAGCGAACGGTGTACTTGTTGCTTCTTAAGTCGAAGGGTTTCCTTCCTGACTTCCTAAATACTTACCTAGATACTTTGGTAATTTTTCTATAACATGTCTTAGCTATTTAAATGGAATTGCTTTATTTGTTTGCTAACGAAATTTCTCCCAAGAATACTGAAGGTAATGAATGACTCAAAACAAGTAACGAAAATAACTGTAGAGGAATATTATAAAATGAAGAATTGTATCTTCGTTTGGAATAAATCTTTGGTGCTATGTTGTACCAAAGATTCAATACATCTCACCAATAGAAATAATATGTCAGTTAATTTTTATTTTTTTTTGTTAAATTTTTTTCTCTTCTATGATGTATAATATTTCTATTGGTGAAATGCACTGAATTTTGATGCAAGAGTATGTTCAGGTTTTTAAGCTTCAAAAGCGTCTAATTTTGGTGCACTTGATATAATTAAAAGCGTCTAATTTTTTATTTTTGTTAAGGATAAGTAGATGAGATTGCTGAGTAAGGATAATTGTTTCTGTTTTGTAGATATTATTTTTATCTTATTTAAGTCGGTTATGAAAAATCTCAAATTCTCTCAACGTGCTTATAAATTTAACTTTAATTTATATGACGTTGACCGGTTCTTCTTTCCAACCATCCCTTTTGAGATTCAAAGTCAATCCTAACCTTAATTGCGCTAATTTTAAAAATACTTGGCCCGAATCAAAAGTGAGCCAGGCTCATTTAAGATTTTGTTAATCCATTTGAACCGAGCTGTATAATTTTAGCTAAAGTTCGTAAATATTGAATGAATCGGACCTAAACCCAAAAGGTGGTTTTTAACTAGATGGACCAATGCACCAACCAAATTGAATGGGCTGAACGTTGGACCCATATGTCTAGTAGCAAAAGATGCTATGCAGCTCAGAATTATTTTTAGTTAATAAGTTTTTATTAGAATTATAAAAACGTTATTTATTTTATTTTGCTCCTTAATTTTAAAGAAAGTCAACGAAGAATAAAATTGAAAATACTAAAAAAGTAAAAGCATATGATGTTTTTATAAATATTAGCAAAAATATAACTAAAAATTAAATAAAACAAATATGATTTTTCAAATCATATTTATTTATATATATTAATATTATTATTTTTTTAAATACTATTGTCTATGTGAAGTTCCACCAAGAATACCTAACTAAAACCCTCTAGGAAATTTTTTTTAAGCAAATGTCTCCACGACCACGATCACATTTACAGAGGTTGTTGTTATTTATTACTGGAGTTTGTATTTATCATTTAACATGACACAACAAAGTTTTTTACTCAGACAATATTTTATGAGATCCACACTTTTTGAAACACAAAAAAAATTATTACACGCAGAATAAATTTCTATAATATTACAGAATCACTCTTCCTACCATATAACTCTTATAATGTAAACACACGTGTTAAGGTTGGGTCCATGTTGGGGTGCGTAGTATATTGAAGAATAATACCTCGAGTGTCCTTTCCCTCACTCTCTTCGTCTGTCTCCTTCGTTCATCTCACATTCTCACTCTTCTTTTGCAATCCATGGAGTTTCAGTTTCTTCCCAAGTTCTACTTTCTTCTATCCTTATCCATCCTCTTCCTTTCATCTTTTCACGCTCAAGCTAAAGTTAACTTCAAATACTGCGGTACTTCAATTCTCTCTCTCTCTTTCTCTCTCTCTCTCTCTCTCTCTGTTGACTTTTTATTTTTATCAATCATCGATTATTATTATTATTATTTTTTTGGGTAGGGGGAGTTAATCTCGATCAGTTCAATATTAGGATTTTGTATTCAGTTTCTTTACGTATCTTTGTTTTTAATGTTTAGTTTTAGTCCTCTTCGTTAATTATTCATCTGCTCACCGGATTCATACCTTTATTTTTCTTCTCCTCCATGAATCTGCAGTTCTCAGATATTTTAGCGGATTTGACCCTTATGTAATGAATTTCTATGAAAAAAGGGGGTCTTTTTGTTGGGATTATTTTTTTATTTTTATTTTTTTGTTGGAGATTGCAATCTGTTACTGTAGATAAATTTTGGTGATTGTGTGATATCATGTGTGAGCTTCTGTACTGGCAGCAGTAGTACCTACGATCATGTTTGTTCAGATTTGTTTTAGATTATGGTATCTTTTTGTCTGTTTATTTTTCCTCTAAAAAATTTATGTAGATAAGAAGGCAAACTATGCTGTGAAGGTGTCTGGAATTGAAATATTACCGAACCCTGTGGTTAGTGGTGACCCGGCTACCTTTAAGATCTCGGCTACTTCTGGTAATATCTCTCTTTTTGCTGTTTTTCAAATTTCCATTTTTGTGCGTTGTAATATTCTGATGTGGTGATTACAGGACATACCATTACATTGCCTTCAATATGAAGTTCACCACAAATAGTTACATTGCGTACTTATCACTTATATTTGATTATTGTTTTTAAGTGCGCGTGAACATAGTAATTCATGTTGTCCACAAAATATTCTGTAAACTTATATAGTCTATCATTTATATTCTGACATACTGTATTTGTTCCTTATGCGTAGTGTATGGGAGCTGCTTCACCAATTTAATGTGTTACTTATTTTTAGGAATTATAAGTGGAGTTTCTGTCTATATTTCATGCAGGTCAAGGTATTTCTGGAGGAGAGTTGGTAATTGGAGTTTCATATGTTGGAGTGCCTGTCCATACTGAAACCATTGATCTTTGTGAGGAAGTGTCCTGTCCTGTTACTAATGGCAATTTTGTGATTACTCACACCCAAACATTGCCTTCAATTACTCCACCGGTTAGTTTCACTTTATCAAATAAACACTTTTAGCAATGTTGAAGTCATTCTAAAAATATCATCCTATCATGAAGTAGATCTTCCTTTCACATCTTTTAGGGCCCCTTGAGCCTTGACACTTGACGCAGTCTGGCATTATGAGCTTACTTTATATAACTTTGATTTTGGTGTTAAATTTTTCATTATTGGGCATTTGCAAATTTGCAATTGGTGTTCTGTTCCATCTTCCCTTTTGGGCTTGTAACTGCAAAAATTATTGCAATATAAAGGTTTCTTTAATCAAGTGTCATTAGATTAATCCCTTTAGAATTTCAAACTTCATGCAGTGTACCTTTGAGGAGATCCTCATATGTAATTCTTTCACCCAAATGAATTTTTCCTCTTGAAAAGTAAGGCTTATTGTAGAAGGAGATCTAAACTTGCATTGCTTTCACATAACTGATTTTCCTTTATACAAATATACATAGGAAATTTGTCTCTGTCTCTATCTATCACTTCACGTATCACATGTAAAGTCGAAACCATTTTACCACCAGTGAACATGCAAATAGGTGATTGTTGGAATGCTATTTTTATCAATGATGTCATAGAGATAGAGGTAACTAAGCCAATGTATTCGATTGGAATTTTGGCCTTTGAATCAACTAGACTTCCTTTTGTCTAAATTTTAAATCTCTGTTGTCTAAAAAGGTATATTCTATTATACTTACTCTCTAAATCCTTTAGAAACATAGCATCTTCTCCATGCTCCCTCCCCACTGCTCCCTCTTAGGGTGTGGTATTGTGGTATTTTGATCAATTTTCCAATTATATTGTAGAGTCATATCTTTCTTATTGTTTCTTTTTTCTTGTTGACTAAATTGTTTGCCCGCCTTTGGTTGTTCAGTTTACTATGATGCTGAGTTTACCTGGTGCTAGATACCAAATCAAGTGTCAAGACACACCCAACTTTTCTTTAGATCATGATATTTGGAGGATGTTATGTATTTTCATAGAAGCATGTTTTTTGGGAGGGGTTTAAAGCCTTAATCCCGGTACCCGCCCCGAATCGGACTAGTCGTGAAGCGATGAATCGATTGGAATATCTCGAAAAAATAAATAAGTAGAAGCATGTTCTTGGCCACTCCATCTCTTCTACATACATTACTGACTCTTTAATAATGCAAACTATGTTTAGGTGTTCAAGCCTGTAGGTTGATATCTAGAAATGGTTATAGTTTCTCTCTTCTTCTCCTTACATCGTTTTAAGCAATTTTCATTGGTGATTCATTTTATTGGTTTTTCCTTAGTTGGGGACCACATTATATTACATGGTTGATGTATCATGGATCCCTTACAAAGTGGTTGGTATATCACGCATAGGATTCAAGTTAGGTGGATAAAATGGAAAAATGTTTAAAGCACAATTTGTGATCACCAAGTGCCTGTCAAACTTAAGGGAAAATTCTGCTATACAACTCTAAGACTACCAATGCTTAGGCAATGAAATACCAACAAGAACAATAAATAAGTGTAATGGAGATGAGAATGTTGAGGCGGATGATTAGACATACAAGAAAAGTTAAGATTAGGAACAAATGTATTAGGGAGAAGTTGGAGTAGCACCTCTTGTGAAGAACTGAAGATTATGGAAACTCATCTAAGGTGATTTGGACATAGGAGAAGAAGACCGATACAGGCTTTTAGCAAGAAAGGTGGATCAAGTGGAAGATAATTTGGCTTTTGTCTTTTTGATAGAGTCCAATGGAAGCGATTGATTCATGTAACTGTCTCCACCTAGTGGAATAAAGCTTGGTGGTTGTTGCTGATTCAGTTTTACGTTGTTCTTACTTGAAAGTTAAGTTTTACAAATTTCTTATCAATCTTTAGTCAATGTTTAATTCTTGAACACCCCACTTTCATGGGATTAAATTGTTAGATACACATCCTTCCATCTAGAATTCTTTCTAAGGTTTTAAATCATTTTTTGGTATTTATGGAATTATATGGAATTGTAATAATTAGTTATTACCTATTGGCAATTGGTTTGATGACTGTCGTGGTTGATTATCAAGAGGCATTTAAACTCTTATAGGTAAGAGCAATCTTACAATTTATTTATTTATTTTTAAATACGTACATAAACCCTTGTTTTTTATTTTTAGGAGTCAATCCTTAGACTTCTACCCAAAATATCCACACACCCAACATTTAAGTTAAGCCTAGGCATATAGGGCCTTCTGAGGCAGAAAGTACTGAAGGTACAAGGATTGACAGGCACATTCGTGCATGGATGACTGGGTATGATAGATGAGGGAGTTTACTGCAAAAGTAAGCTAGAAGGAGGTGGAAGATGGAACAGGTAAAGTTAGAGCAGGTGCTGGGAGGTACTTTTGCTAACTGTTGTAGGCTTTAACGCAACAATACCTATCTTGCTTAAGGGGCTGTGCAATGAAATATGCATTCCACATGGTATGGCCCTCTATCTAAAGCCTATCCACTATCAGGCCACAACTGAATGTATGTTTTTCATTAAGAAGAATGGCACTGCCAATGCCATGTTTGTGTTGTGACTTGTGAGTAACTGCACAAGTCTTGCTTGAACCTGCATACTCACTGCTGGGTGTGTACCGCTGAGGATCCATGGGTGCACATGGCAAGGCCCTGGCCCCATGCTGCCCTTTTGTCCAGTGTACATGGTCAGGGGTCACTACGGTGACTTTGTGCATTTGTGAAAAATTCTGCAGAAGTTGTGTGTTCCCTCGTCGAGGGAAAAGGTCCACCCATGTTAATTCATGGTTCGTATGGCTTGAAGCTTGATCTGAGCATTTAAGGTAATGCACATAGATAATGTTGGTACCTAGATTTGTTCTTGAAACAGAGATAAGGAATATATTAAGACAAAGACGTTTAACAAGATTTTATTGATGGCCAACTGGGTCATACACCATCGTGACTACAACTCAGAATTATTACAGCCAACAGCAAAATCAAGACTACTAAAGACTATTCCCTTCAATGGACTGGCCGATTGAAGAGGGGAATTACAATGACACTTTTCCTTACTGCTACTGAGGAAAACACCTTCTCAGAGCACTACCCAACCTCACTCAACAAAACTCTTCACACCCCACACTATTCCCTGTAACTAACTTATATTCTCCTCTCCTTCCTCTCCAATATCTTCCTCTCCATTCATTGCTTGCCATGTGTCCCTTTCCATAACAGATTGTGGTTTGTCTTTTTCCTTCCTCTTCAAGGCCTTCCGAGTGTATACTTGAGCAAAAGGCTTAAGAGGCCCAAGAGGCCCATCAATACCCCCTGCTTCAAAATTCACCTTGTCCTCAAGGTGAAAATGAGGAAACTCAGCTTGAAAGTCTACCAAATTCTCCCATGTAGAGTCACAAGGTGCCAACTCTTCCCATTGAACCAATATTTCCACCTGCCCATCCAATAAACGTCGTGCTTGCAAAATGGCTGCAGGTTGCACTTGTAACTCCAATTCAGCAGATAGACAGTGAGGTAAGGCCAGCATTAATGTAGAGGGGTGGACAACTCTCTTTAATTGAGAGACATGAAAAACAGTATGAATCTTTGAATATGAAGAGAGTTCTAACCTGTAAGCCACCTGACCAATTTTTTCTGTAATGGCAAACGGCCCATAGAACCGTGGGCTCAACTTCTGATTAATACTTCTAGCTAAGGATTTTAATTTATAAGGTTGAAGCTTCAAAAAAACCTTGTCACCAACCAAAAAATTTTCCTCCCTTCGCCTTTTATCAGCCTGCAACTTCATCCTTTGCTGTGCGTGGCACAAATTATTTTTCAACTCCACCAAGATAGCATCCCTTGCCAACATCCACTTATCCACTGCTGCTACTGTTGTACTACCAGGAGTAAATGAAATAATTGTGGGTGGGTCCCTGCCATAAACAGCCCGAAATGGAGACATTTGAATGGACCTATTGTAAGTGGTATTGAACCAAAATTCAGCCCATGACAACCATTTGACCCAACCCTTAGGATGTCCATTAACAAAACAACGTAAATACGTCTCCAAAGTGCGATTAACCACTTCTGTTTGGCCATCCGTTTGGGGATGATAGGCGGAACTAAATTTTAATTTAGTTCCTGTGAGTTTAAAGAGCTCACCCCAAAACTTACTAATGAAGGTTCTGTCGCGATCTGATACAATGGACTTTGGGATCCCATGTAATCGGATCACCTCCCTCATGAAGACAGTAGCTACTGTGTGAGCATCAAAAGGATGTTTGAGTGTCATAAAGTGGGCATATTTTGAGAGTCTATCTACCACCACCAATATGGTGTCAGCCCCTTTGGACACGGGTAAACCCCCAATAAAATCAAGGGACACGTCCTCCCAGACTTGCTGAGGAATAGGTAGAGGTTGCAATAAGCCAGCCGGTTTCAAGTGATCATATTTTTGCTGCTGACATGTATCACAAGCACGCACGAACTTTGAGACATCCTTGCGCATTCCCCTCCAATAAAAAACACCAGCCACCCTTTTCAATGTTCTCAATTCCCCAGAATGACCACCCCAAGGAGAAGAGTGGAACTCATTAAGAATGTCAATTATCCGAGGAGAAGAGCGAGGAATGGCTAACCTGTTTTTATACCAAAGGCTGCCTTTGAGCACCTGATAGCCTGGGTGAGAATTAGCATCTTGTAACACATCAGTAAAAATGCCCTTAGTCACTGGATCTAAAAGGATCTCTTCTGACAGCCCTTGTAGGTCTGGACTTGTGACCATGGTAAGTTCTTTGCAATCCATGACACGAGACAGGGCATCAGCTGCTGTATTTTCCCTTCCTGGTTTGTAACGGATCTCAAAATCAAATCCCATCAACTTCGCCACCCACTTCTGTTGTCCCTCAACCATCGGACGTTGCTCTGTTAAGTACTTGAGACTCCTATGATCCGTTGTAATCACAAAATGACGGCCCAACAAATAGTGACGCCACTTGTAAACAGCAAATACAATAGCCTTCAGTTCTCTTTCATAGACGGATAGCAATTTGTCTTTCTCGGAAAAAGCCTTACTCAGGAAGGCAATTGGGCGGCCCTCTCGCATCAATACAGCCCCCATTCCCACTCCGGAAGCATCTGTCTCTACAAAGAATGTCTCATCAAACTTAGGTAATGCTAGAGTGGGCAGCAACAACATCTCACCCTTTAGAGCTTCAAAGGACAGTTGGGCTTCTTCACTCCAATGAAAATTGTCCTTTTTGAGCAACTGAGTTAAAGGTTTTGCAATCTGACCATATTGCCTGACAAACCTTCTGTAGTAACCAGTCAAGCCTAAGAATCCTCGAAGCCCCTTTACTGTCGATGGAATAGGCCACTTTTGTACAGCTTCCAATTTGTGATGGTCAGCCTTGACTCCCTCTTGTGAAATAAGATGACCCAAGTACTCCAATTCCCTCTCTACAAATGTGCATTTTTTTTGTTAGCCGAGAAATGGTGCTGTCGCAAAATTCCCAACACCACTTGCAAGTGTTCACAATGTTGTTCCATACTGGTGCTATAGACCAAAATGTCATCAAAGAACACCAAGACAAATTTTCGTGAATACGGTTTGAAGACCGTATTCATCAATGATTGAAACGTAGAAGGAGCATTCCTCAAGCCAAAGGGCATGACGAGATACTCATAATGACCTTCATGCGTATGAAACGCTGTCTTCTCAATGTCTTCCACCCTCATCCTAATTTGGTTATAGCCTGATTTCAGGTCTAACTTGGAAAAGATTTCTGCACCATGCAATTCATCAAGCAGCTCATCAATAACTGGTAAGGGAAATTTGTCAGGAATTGTTACCTTGTTCAAGGCCCGGTAGTCTACACAGAAACGCCAGCTCCCATCCTTTTTTCTCACCAAAATTAAGGGGCTTGAGTAAGGGCTGCAACTGGGTCTAATCATACCCACCACTGACATTTCTCTGACAAATTTCTCAATTTCTTCTTTCTGGTAGTATGGGTATCGGTAGGGACGAATATTAGGGATGTCTGCTCCCTGTTTCAGAAGGATCTTATGATCACACTCCCTAGAAGGAGGCAGCTCTGAGGGAGGTTGAAAAACATCTTCGTATTGACTGAGTAACTCTGTAATTCGAGGATCAGCTGTAGGAGTGGCTTCTATCCCCATTGCTGAGTAACCCAACTCAATGTAGTACCCTTCTGACCCTTTTCTCCATGAGCGGTTCAAGCTGCGGTAGGAGACCTGACTATATGACAACTCAGGATCTCCTTGCAAGGTGACCATGCTTCCCTGCCATGGAATCCGTAGCAACAACTTCCGAAAATTAGCTTGAATATCCCCCAAGCCTTCTAACCATGAAAATCCCAGCACCATATCCACGCCCTTAAGTCCGAAGATGTAGAAATCTTGGACGATAGACACATTTGGCAAAACCAGCGTCACTCCCTGACACATCCCCATACCTTGGACTCAGTGGCCATCTCTTACTTCGACTGTGAAGGTCTTTGATCGAAGTGAAGGTACACCTACCGTTTCTACCACGTACTCTCCAATAAAGTTGTGGGAAGCTCCCGTGTCTACCAACACCATCACTTTCTGACCAAGGATCGTTCCCCATAATTTCAGGGATCGATTGGAAGTGATCCCCACCATACTCTGAATGCTCAGTTGCAGGGCCTCAGGCTGCTCGTCACCACCATCTTCCTGAACCAGACCCTCGTCTACTTCGCCCTCGCCGTCGTCACACACGAGCATCACTCTCATCTGTGGGGTAGGGCACACATGTCCAGGACCAAAAAGACCGCTACAACGAAAGCATAAGTTGCGAGGCCTGTGATCCGTCTCATCTTCAGGTGATAACCGACGGAAGTTGGTCCTCCGACGACCGTCCGTCCCACTCGCCGTTGCTCCCCCAGTTTCTGCCGTCACACCCCCCACGCGGTCAGGGCTCGCGTTCGTGTTGCTGGCACGGACGAATTTGACACGTTTGGCATATTAGAAGTTGGGGTTTGTTGGGCTGATGTCACCGGCCCAGTATGCCCCCACCTATTATTTACTCCTTTATTTCCCAAAGCGGGCCGTCCATTATTTGTATGGTTCATGCTTGGCCCAATTCCAGCTCGGCCCAAGTTCCCTTCTCTTCTCCGTAGCACAGCCTCGCGTTCCTCCACGCGTTGAGCAAGGATCATCATCTCCCCAATATCACCAGGAGAATGAAGACGAACCTCCGCTCGGATTTCAGGTTTCAAACCCGTCAGAAAGGCCGGTTGCATGAGTTCCTCATCGGCTTGCCCCAACGGAGCGGATAGCACCTCGAATTGCTTTCTGAACTCAGCGACTGTTCCCAACTGTTTCCATTCCATTAACGCTTCATAAGGGTTACCGGAGGGTGACGCATGAAAACGTTGGAGGACCGCCGTCCGGAATATCAGCCACTCCGCCAACAGATTTCGTGGTTCCCAGCATTGGAACCAACTTAAAGCCTCACCTTCTAAGCAAATCGACGCCGTCTCCAGCTGTTCTTTCGGCGGAATCCTATTGACCCGGAAGTACCTTTCTGCTCTAAAGATCCATCCGTATGGGTCCTCGCTTGAGAAGTATGGAACCTCAACTCTCTTCATCCTTTCTTCGTTCCTCACCGTTCGTGGACTGGTCTCCTGGTTTCCTCCTTGGCTCCCTGTTCCATCACTATTGGTTCCTCCGTTTCTCCTTTCTCGCGCGAGATCTTGAAGCGTTCGCATCACTTCAGCCAGATCTGTCTCAATCCGGCGGATCCCCTCCTCCGTTCCTCCTACCCTCACCTCCAAAGCTTCCATTCGATGATCCATGTTTCGCGTCAACACCATTCAAGGATTAATTTTCCCAGAAAAGTGCTTTGATACCAATTGTTGGTACCTAGATTTGTTCTTGAAACAGAGATAAGGAATATATTAAGACAAAGACGTTTAACAAGATTTTATTAATGGCCAACTGGGTCATACACCATCGTGACTACAACTCAGAATTATTACAGCCAACAGCAAAATCAAGACTACTAAAGACTATATTCCCTTCAATGGACTGGCCGATTGAAGAGGGGAATTACAATGACACTTTTCCTTACTGCTACTGAGGAAAACACCTTCTCAGAGCACTACCCAACCTCACTCAACAAAACTCTTCACACCCCACACTATTCCTTGTAACTAACTTATATTCTCCTCTCCTTCCTCTCCAATATCTTCCTCTCCATTCATTGCTTGCCATGTGTCCCTTTCCATAACAGATTGTGGTTTGTCTTTTTCCTTCCTCTTCAAGGCCTTCCGAGTGTATACTTGAGCAAAAGGCTTAAGAGGCCCAAGAGGCCCATCAGATAATAAGGTGGCAATCAACATCAATTGCCACATATTATAGTGAAGACTTGGGTCTTGGGGCATATAGTCATGATATATGATTTTTTTGCGCTCTGTATTCTTGTTGTTTAATCATCCTTGTCTTAGATAACAATCTCTGTTGAGGTAAAACTTTTTTGTTTTGGTTAAACATCACATTACTGCGTTCATTTCCTTGTCTTCAATTTGATGTTTGTTTTTGCAGGGACCCTACGCCCTTAAGATGACACTGAAGAATGACAAGAATGAGCTGTTAACTTGCATTAAGTTTAATTTTAAAATCGTTCTTCGATCTTTTGTGTCTGATATGTGAAGTGTTCTTTGCACGACTGATCTGGGGGGTACTACTATGCTTTGTTGCAATATGTACTGTATATTACCTTTCAAGAGTCATATCATTTAAGGCCAATGTTGTCTAATGTTCTTTTAGAAGAACAGTAATATCAATGACATGACATATGATGTTGGATAAGGTCAATGACAGAAATTTTTTCTTTTTTGTGAACTTGGATTAGAGTTTAGAAGTATGATTTCCATAACGTAATTCATACAAAGTAACAGAAAATCGCCCTTGTCAGCTTAACACTAGCATCTTTTATTGTATTCATTTCTAATGCCTTCATTCCTGGAATACTATGAATCATGCCAATGCTCTTCACCCTCTTAACCCCAGTGGCACCAAAGGGCCCATCATGTCCACCGGAGCACACCATAAACTTAACCTCCATCTTATTATTTAGGTCCATACAAGACTGTGTCATGGTTCATGGAAACCAAAGCCTTATTGGTCATAACACCAGCTACCCCCACTCCTTTAACAATCGGATCCTCAACAGCCGCAACTTTGAACAACTTCACATTAGGCTTGGCTAGAAGCTTGCTTATGATGGTGGATGTGAACAGATATGATGCAATACATGGCTATTACAAGGCTATTAAAACTTCGCATGAATAAAAATTCACGAACCTCCCTCTACCATATAGCACATATTTTCTATTTTACCTCATGCTGAAAAAACACACATCAGAAACAAGCAGACGCTCTCTTAAGCCCATGTCTACATGCCCTAAATGAAGGTCACCCCAAATGTTCTTAAACCATACATCACCTTGGACGAGCCGTGCTACTGTGATCTTATTGAACTTTGCTGCACTTTTTACGACATGTTAACAAGTCCAATTCACTTTCTTGGTACTTCGTACCTACACCTAGTCCACTATTCATGTGCTCTTTTCATTATGCTCGAAATGTCGTTTCAAGGTGGACCAAAGTGCCGGTTAATTTAGCGATGCACTTTTTTTTCATTTTTGTTTCCAAAAAAAAATAAAAATTGCATCACTAAATTAACCGGTACTTATAATTTTTTTTTTAATTTCATTATTATTAAGGTGAGTTAAAATTTATGAAAATTGCTTAGGAGCTCATTAAAAATTTCTTGCAAATTGAGCTCCTCTTCAAGCCAATCTCAGAAGTAAATAGAGTGGCAAAATGGACAGCATGTCCTGTAATGTCATCAACTCGTCAAAAAATGAGCCAGTCTGTTTTGTTTTTGAAAGTGGGCTAAAAATTTGGTCTGATGACCCGAACCTATTTTACATTGACCCGCCTCGTCCAGCTCCTCCCCGCTATCAACTTGCCAAAAAATGAGTTAGCTCGCCCACCTCGCTTTTGAAAGTGAGTTATAAAACTCAGTCCGCCCCGCTCCATTTGGCGGGCCGGACGGATTAGCCCGCCGAACCGAGCCTGTTTTGTCGGATCTAGAAGTATGGGGTGTAAATGGACTGGATCGAGCTAGATTTTGGTCTAAATAGCTCAAGCCTCTATAAAATATTGAGTAAACACCCGTTTTGGTCTCTGGCAATATCTACGAAATCCTTTTTAGTCCTTGGCAATAAAAAAGGACCAAATTGGTCCCTAAAATTATGAAAAAAGGGCCACATTAGTCCTTATGTCAACTCCTCTGTCACTAACGTGGCCCTTTTTACATACTGTTAGGGACTAATTTGGTCTTTTTTTATTGCCAGGACTAAAAAGGATTTCATAGATATTGCCAGGGACCAAAAATGGTGTTTACTCTAAAATATTTGAGTCGGGCCTAGCCTATTAGCATGATGCACTAAATTAGGCTTGGTTTGTGTATATTTAAAAATTAAAAAATTTATCCTATATTTAAAAGTCAAAAGGCCTAACATAGGCCTATTAGCCTATTTAATCCTATCAAACCCTCAATATCTATAATTAAAAAATAATATAATATAGGCCAAGTTTTTTAATATAGTATATTTTCTAAACTAGTTTTTTTTTTAAGATATGAGTTTATTCTATTTTAGAAATAGGTTGTTTGATCCATTTACACCCCTATTTATGAGCTTTATGACTCTCTAGCAGCAGTTCTCCTACGGACCCGTCGATTTTGCGTTGGCCCTGTTTTTTTTTATTTTTACATGCGGACCCTACATGTTTTTTTTTTTGTCTCTGTGGCTGCAGACAATGACTCTCCTGTTGTTGCAGGAGAGTCATTTAAACCCCTATTTATGGGATGAGATAAGTTATTCTACCTATGTTTTTATGCCCACATTATCTATCATTTTCTAACACCGTTAGATCAAAATCTCAAGGGAAGAGAGAAATGATAAAGATTAGTTGAGATTCTGATCTAACGGTATTAAAAAATGGTAGGTATAAAAAAAGTTAGATAGAATAACTTATCTCTTATGAGATTAATATTTCTCATATTGCAGGAGATAAAATTATCTCCACACACACATAAAAATATGTGAGACCTATATTTTTTCTCCTTTTTTTTCTTTTCCCGTGGTCCAACATAAACACCATATATTTTTATGTCTCATAAAATATAAGAAACATTAATCTCCATATTTATATGTCAAAACATATTTTTCCCTTAGGGGGCGTTTGGTACATGTAAATTTTTTTTTTTACCAGAAAAATGTGATTACTAGGGATCTGCAGGAAAAGTGAGTTATTAGGAAAGTTAAAAAAAAGTTTTTTGGTTGAGCAAAATATTACTGGAAAAATTGAGTGAAATTCCTGAATCTATGTTTGGTTGAAGATAAAATATTGATGGAAAACCAGGCTGAAATTACAAAATAACCCTTTACAAAATAACCATAATGAGAACTAATGTTGAAGTCATCAAAGGGTAATTTTGACATCTCCCATGTTCACCTTTTTCACTTAGCTAGCTATCACTCAAATACCACCCTCCAAGTAGGATTTGAGCACCATATTTTTTGTCCAATTTTGCATACAAAGTTCAATTGCTAGGCAAATGGGTTAGCTAGACAAATTTTTAAATAACCTCTACCAAACATGGACATACTACTTACCCACTTTCAAAAGCCTAGCAATATTTCAAGATGACATGTACCAAACACATGTTAGTTTGCATAATGTATCATGTTCATAAATCATAAAATAAGAACATGATAAAGGATCTTGGGAATACATGATTTTCACATACACATAAAAGATAAAAACATACCAGATCTCGATGATGAGGCGTTAACAACAGTCATCTTGTTAGAAATTCTATTGGGGTAGTTTCTCTCTCTAAGCCTTCTTTCTTTTTATGTATTCTGATGGAGAGAATGACATTAGGGTTAAAGGAGAGAGAGGACCATCCCTAATATATATATATATATATATATATATATATATATATATTTCATAACTTATAATCTGGTAAGTCTATCATATACCATGTTATCAAAAAAAAAAAAAAGTCTATCATATACCAAATCAATGATATGATTGAGATTAAATGTATCAGTAATTAATTGGGCCATATAACGTTTAATGGGTAATATCAAGAATCTTAATATTATAATTATAATAAAATCTTTTTAATATTATAATTGATTCTTAATATTTCTAACATTCTCCCACTTGTCCCGATTAATCTTAATATACATGCATCTCTAATGTTAGTCATCATAAAAGATAAATTGTCAAGTGTGAGTTATGGCGGTAGTGCGCTATTAATTCAGTACATTCCCTTCCATATACTACAAAACCAACAATCCATTATATAAAATTCATAATATAGGAAATATAATGGTCCACATAATGTCTTACAAAGACTTCCTTGTCAAAATTGATAATGTGTATACAACCATAAAATAATAAGGAAACATAATGTATGTCAGAAACACATAGGTGAGCTCAGAGTGTCACATATCAATAATCTTTAATACAACCAAGGCTCATACTTTCAACATGTTCTTTAAATAGCTTTGGATGTAACCCTTTCGTCAAAGGGTCTGCCATCATGCGTTCAGTTCTTATGTGCATAATTGACACTCTCTGTTTCTGAACCTCCTCTTTAACAAAAAATACTTTAACTCTTTATGTTTGGCACCTTTAGAGTATCTTTCGTTCTTAGAGAAGAATACTGCTGCAGAATTATCACAGTAAATTTTCAGCGGCTTGCTAATGGTGTCGACAACCGCAAGCCCTGAAATAAAGTTCTGCAGCCATAATGCATGAGTTGTGGCTCCAAAACATGCCACAAATTTTGCCTCCATAATGGATGAAGCAACGATAGTCTGTTTTGCACTTTTCCATGATATGGCTCCTTGGGCAAACAAGTAACCAAAGGTTGACTTTCTACTTTCAAGACATCCACCTAAATCTGAATCAATATGTCCAATTACTTCTAATTCATTGGACCTTTTGTACATGAGCATGTGATCCTTCGTGCCTTGAAGGTATCTTAAAACTTTCTTTGCAGCTTTCCAATGTTCCATTCTTGGATTACTTTGATATCTGCCCAATATCCCGACCGCAAAACTGATATCTGGCCGAATACAGGTTCGAGCATACATTAAGCCGCCCACAACAGAGGCATATGGAATTGGTTCCATTTCTTTTCGTTCAACATCATTATTTGGACATTGCATGAGACTAAATTTATCACCTTTCTGTATAGGAACAACTCCAGGTGAGCATTTACTCATATTAAATCTCTCCAGAATTTTCTCAATATATCCTTTCTGAGATAGTCCCAACAATCCTTGTGATCGATCACAAAATATTTATATTCCAATCACATAAGACGCATTTCCCATATCTTTCATTTCAAAATTCTTTGAGAGAAAATCTTTAATCTCACGCAATATACTCAAATAATTTGCTGCAAGTAAGATGTCGTCAACATAAAGAACTAAGAAAACAAACTTACTCCCACTGATCTTCTGGTAAATACACCGATCAACAGTATTTTCCTCAAATCCAAAAGATGTAATAATGGTATTGAACTTGATATACCATTGTCGGGATGCTTGCTTAAGTCCATATATTGACCTCTTGAGTTTACACACTAATTTTCCTTCACTTTTCATGGAAAAACCTTCAGGTTGATCCATATAAACTTGTTCCTCAAGGTCACCACCATTAAGAAAGGATGTTTTTACATCCATTTGATGTAGCTCTAAATCATAATGAGCCACCAATTCCATAATTATCCTTAATGAATCCTTTTT